TCTTTGAACGTTTCGGTAAACAATACGTCGTAAAATAAAGTATGTGCGTTGCGCATAAGTGTAGAACGAATGGTTTTCTGATTTTCTTAGTTCTAGTATGCTACTGTGTGTTCTTGCTCATTTGAACAATGTTTTAACGCTAATGTGTTTGTGTGCTGTAAAATGATTGCTGAAAACGTCTAAAATTTGATCGACAGGAATCAGTTTCCGGTGAACGCTGACTTCCACTTAACCGGTATTGAGTCTTCTGACAAAGACCTCTCGGATTTGTAGATGGCAGTTGTTCCATCCTCTGAAGTATCTCGACAGAAGTATTTTTTTAATAAATCGATATTTTCTCCAGTTTAGCGCGTTTCAGAATGACAAAACTGTCAAATATTCGTGAGCTGTATGGAACTTTCGTTTTACATAAATTAAACATCACTCACAATTGTTCGCAGCTGTCGCATTCCCATAAACCTTTCAGTCAACTTCTTTCAAAAAGAAGCACTACATTCGAGTTTTGTTCTTGTTACTATGTATCCTATCGAGATAATGGGGTAATCAGAGCATTACTCATAAGTTAATATGGCTGATCGTTCACCTATGATGATGCATTCATGCCTAGTGTGAAGTCAACGGCACAGTGGTAAGCACGATTGTCTCATGAAAGCGTGGCCGGAGTTCTAGTCCAGACCGTGGCGGCAAGGATGTGCACTACTGTCGGGTTCTAATAGGAGCGAAACTTGAGTCTAGTACTTTTCTCGAAAGAGACCGACTGGAAAGTCTATGAGAATGCGACAGCTGCCATCACCCGTGAGGGCTGTTCAGGTCAGGTAAACATGTCGATGTTTATTCTTTGAGAAGTATTTCATCCTATACAGTATGATCCGCTTTGGTGTGACACCGTACATAAGGCAGTCACTTTGGTGAAACCTTCGCAATAATCATACGCTCATAATTTATACTGAGATCCTGTAAATCCCGATGGAGCATTTAACAAGATATGTGTTATCGAACGATCCTCGCTCGCGGCAGTTGCGCACTCTTCCCGGAATGATGGACGATCACCGGTTGGGGGTGAACAGTTAGAACATTTACATACCGTCCGGCTTAAGCTATAGAGTGGGAGCCAGTGGGCGTTATGCCGTTCAACGTTTACTGTCGTGCACTCGTGTTCTTAAGCGCAAGTTGAGATACTATCAGGTCACCCATGTTTAGACAAGTACTTGATGACGATTATTTGAACCTAGCATCTCCCAACTAGCAAAACAGTATTGTAGAATGCGTAACTGCCCACGGTTCTACGCAGCCTATTATCAGAATAGCTGTAAATCTCTTGATTCAAAGAGAACAAGAGAGAATATTGAGTGTCCTGTACACAAATACTCAACAAGTAACGGAATCATAAACTCACAACTAAGTAGTGGCTGTTCACAGAAAATACCTGTTGGCAACTGGCACCTTACAGAGCAGTAGGGTGCACAATTGCATTGACTGGTGTGGAAGCAAACGAGTCGGACATCCTCATGTCGGTGAGGAAGATGTTGTGGGGGAATATAGTTTCGCGGCGTATAACCTGTTTCACAACGACAATAATCATTCGCTTGATACTTGATGCAGACAGTATACAAAGAGACATTAACGGGCGTGGAATGGATCATCCTGTCAATTGAACACCGGTACGTAAGGTGGATGAATGAAGTTGAATTCTGGTTCGACCAAGCTCTCCGCAGGCATGTCGATGGCCTGGTGGTTTGTATGTTGGCGTTCCACCTGTTCGTCGGTGGCCACAAGGTTACTGCTTCGTCACCACATTACTCGTGAAACTTACGACAGCATCAAGCTTCTCTTCGTTCATTCTACCAGGAACAGCAAGCACTACGATCACTGTTTTACCTCCATCGAGGACCAGGCTAACATTCGGATGGTTGACTATTCATCTCCCAGTTTAAGATGTTTCGATATCACTTTCGTGTGTCTCGGCGTTGATATATACTTTTTATACTATACTATACTATACTTTTTATACTTTATGATATTTCCCGAAATCCGTATAAGTAGATCCAAGGATTTACTTGTTATTAACCCGCCACAGTTTCCAGGGCCATTCCACCCACGCGGATTGCACTAGCACGGTTGGACAGTGAACTCAAACAAACATGTCACACTTAAGTCTCAACGTATGCGACGACTGAAGTTAACGGGCATTCTAAACGAGTTAGGCCAGCAAGAGCCAACGAGCCACAAAAGCCGGAACATACTGAGAGAAAATATATGACTTAGACAGTGCAAGCACATCCATTTTGGCGAACGGATCCACACCTCAGTTGTGTACAGTGATCGATCAGAACGTCTAGTCATATTAGCCTTCTCACGAATTTTAGACCTTAACTCGGTGTATCGGTTTCCACTCTGTACCCCATTGCGTTAATGTGAACCAATTAGTTTGGACGGCTCTGGTAGAGCAATGTCAGAGAAACTCCTCGGGTCTTTATAACCCTATATAAAGTCAACAGAACTGACGTGGTTGCACGCAAGTGTGATATCGGGACATCTTGACGTGGAAACGTTATTGGTAATCTTGCCGGGCTACTAAGCGTGCTGACCGGAGAATGACTGGAACAATATGGTCGTGTGTTACGCCAGAATTTACTGGGAGTTCCGTCTGTTTCATCTTATCTGATCGGAAGTGGTAATTCTTCCGTCTGATTTTAATCGAAGCGTTGAACAGACCCACAAGAAGACGTCTGGCATGATTTCATTTTACGGTAGGATTGCATGTGATGTTGTTATCATTGACAACATGCTGAAGCTGTGCGACGTAAGACATGCTTTCGTGCGATGATCACTGACGATTTAGAAAGATTTGATAAATTTAACCGTCCTAAATGCTCAGTTCTGTCACAAGGTGGGTTTGTGCATACGGTTGACTCTGAACGATCCACAATAATAAGTTCCGTGGACGGTTTGGTGGAATTATGTCGACTAACCGCTAGATTTCCAATACATAATAGCGTGATATCAGTCACCGTCTTGAACAGACTGAGGAACAGTGTCATGTACGTAGATGTGTTAACGTGGCCTGTGTAAGGATCCTGCTGCGCGCAGACGTTCGTCGCATAATGTTCACTTCATAAAACTTACCATTATTTTGCTGTAACCAAATCATAATTTGGTTTGCGCGTTTCGCCGCCTGCTCAATACTGCCTATGTGAATCGGTGGTTCACTGATACTCAGCGTTTGCACAACGTTGATCTGTTTGGTAAATGGTACATCAGTTTTCATTGCTGGAATTTCGGTCGGCTGTGGACGACAGTTTTGTTTGTAAGATTTTCAAACTAGATCACTATGAAATGTAATCACTTCTAGATATCAGTGCTAGACATCCAGTATTTCGGACCGTTAGAGTGACAGCAGGTATAATTTCGTTCTATGCCCGTTTATTCATGCAGGGACTATGGCAGTATATTGGCACACGTGGTGTTCGTTGAGATGGATTTCATGAAATGTGTACACAACAGTTCATACTTAAGTGTAGCCCTGGCACAGTAATCGTTTTTTGTTTACCTGTAACGTATATATTGTAGAAAAAACGTTGGTTTCCTTACGGATTGTCTCTTACGTGGGTCGGATATACCTTAGTTGGTTTTTATGTTAGATAAGCTAATTGTGAAGACCTTAGTTGATGGTCACCTGCCATAGTTTATTCTGTCTTGAGTAGGGACCAAAGACTTGAAAGTGTACTTAAAATGAATACTTGGGCATTCTAAAGAGGTCCATTTTCTGACTATTCTAGTACTGAGACAGTCTTTTGCACGTTATATTTCTCAAGCACATTTCAATGCATTCCATCAGATACATACTGCAGTCTGTGAGTTTACATAGCAAATTTCAATGGGCATTGTGAAGCTAAACAACAAAATCAGCGAACATGCACACACACATCCATATACGTCAGTTAACAGGACAATCTGATGCTGACGAACGAGTCTTTCTGTATGCAGAGGAGTGGCTTCCATTTGTTAATTTTTACCGCTTCTACGAACCGGAGAAGCCTTTGTTTTTTTGTTGCGTGTGAGTGCCGAGCCATGTGCATAGGCAGAATGGAGCGGCAGTTACGTAGTCGAGTCAAAGAACACATTCCAGTTTGGGTTAGCAAGACGACCATGAGCGATACCAGAATGTCGGACTCAGATCAGAGTATGACAATTCACAAAGAACCAGAGTCATCGCTCACTCGAAACTTGTTGATATATCCACCCCAACTGACCTTGGAGAAGGTCTTTGGGATATGTTGCGCAACAAAAATAGACAGTTTCTTCTGTTCGATGGCCTTTCAGTTCCTACTGCCACTTGAGTCAATAATTTCAGATACTTAATTTTCAGAACGAAGTTTCGAATATTCTATGCGCTTTCAGATACTTGAAGAGCATCGCTCATTGTTTCCAGCAATCACCTGGTGGACGTTGATTTCGTATGGTTCTGAAAGGTATATTAGCGCTGAATAAGTCCCACACATGTTTCTTAGTCACGCTTAGAGGAGACTTCACCTGGCTAGTGTTTCATACATTGACTTATTTAATTTGGTTATATACCCTGGGGTTACTACGCTATCAGCCTGGATTTGGTTCATCATGGTTGCAGTGCTGTTTCATTCTGGACGAGAACGGCCGATTTCACTTCCCATGTAGTCTTTCTGGTGGTTCATCTGTTCAGTCGAGGTATCTACTGGAACACACATTCGTTCTTCATAAATGAGTTTCTTCTTGGGAGATTCCTTCTATGGTGGACGCCGTGGCAATTATTGTGTTTTAGCTCATTAATAATTAATCTGCCAAACTACTCATTAGTAATACAATTTCTATGCTCAACAGTGGCGTTGGTGGATTCCAACGTGAACTGTTCGAGAAATCCTGCCGGGACGGTCGATCCCTTGGATCATTTGGTGGATTCCATATGAGAAAGTGGGACGGGTGGGTAACCGAGTCCAAATGTGAAATTTCCGAGATCCTGGCGTGGCTTTGTAGCTCAGCTGATAGAGCGCTTGCCGCGTAGAGGCATGGTGTTTTCTGTCACTGGTTCGAATCCAGCCGAAGCCCTGACTTCACAGTTGGGTCTCATCTAAAATCATTAATCTGTCAAACTACTCATTAATAATACAATTATTGTATTGCTCGATTGTTACCTCAGGACACTTTTACTTAGGTCGTTGAACCGTGGTATCCAGTGTTTCCGCTTGCTGATCAAGCGGGTACCCTTCAAAGTTTCTCAAGTGGCCTGAAGTTCACATTGTGGATTGGCGACCACATAACTTGAATTCTTTGGAACGGAAGACAGATTTTCGTTATACATGATCTATGCGTCACCGCATCGTTCTATTGAAGGACGTCAGTTTAATGTACTTGTAGTGCAATAAGTGGTAGCGGAAGATCTTTCTGTGTGCTATAGGCTTCCGGTTTTTTTAAAGAAAAGTTTCAGACAAAATTAGCAGCTGATTAAAGTTGAAAATGTACCCCAAACAAACAGCTTCACCACTGATCAATTAAGTAAAACAAAATGCAAGTTTGTGGCTGGTGAGAGTGTAGGAAATGATATCATCCCACAGTTTTTGCCTTCTGACTTGTGGTGCACTCTTTTGAGGATCATGCGATCAGTATTTCCAGGTTGCCGGCTGATCATGGTTGACATTTTTTCTTTTCACCAAATCTTCCAATGATGGGTCCAGTTAATATAACGTTCAGTTTGACCTGATCGTCGCTGAATTTATTGTTTATCAGGAGACAGCATCCTTCTCTCTCTCTCTCTCTCTCTCCCACATTTCAGAGAAACAATTTCGTGATGCGTTAAATAATAAGCCTTCATTTGGTTTCTGACGCATTCCACATCCTCTTGCATGCCTGTTGGATGACTAGACGTTTTGCGTGTTCATATAGTGCTGAAATCTCTTTCGTTGATTTTTTTTAAACTAAACTGAAGCTCAGTAATATGTGGCACTCGGCAATTTTAACATTTGCAGTAGTACAGTGATCTCCTTTAAATTTTAGACTCTTGTCCGAGTGCTAGAATCATCCTTTTTCTAGTTGTGTCGAACCAGCTGATTTTGCTTCTCACAGCACTATCCAACACATGTATGTCACGGTTCTTATCCTCGTGGCTGTCCTTGAACAACTGGGGGAGGAACTTGCAAACAAAAATCCTTTTTCCTCCTGTACAAACTCATGGACCTATGATCCCATTAGCGCTCAGCCATAACCAGTAAGGTGACCTGCTTCCGATTTCAGTACTGATGCGTAGTTTGTGACCTGCGCGAGCTGCACACATCCAACATACATGAGATGTCTATAATATTGCCGAGGTAATTTTTAATATGACTGCGATGATGAATGGTCTTCAGGTATTCTGATCAGTGAAGACTTCAGTCAATTGTGTACGAAAACTCATCTCTCTAGACCGTTTAGTAAGTTGCAGTGAAACTATTGTCCATGATAGCTTGAGTATCTATTGCTCAATCGGCTCAATGGAGTCCGTGGCTACGACCTATCTGAGGAATTCCCAATCACAAAGTTATCGATTGTAGTGAGCAGTGGGCCTCTGTTCTTGCGAAATGATCAGGCAATCTGGACATTGTTCACATAAGGTAGTTGATCGTTTGGATATGAATGATCGGTCATGTCTGTTGTGTGGTTGCTGGCACTGCAGTTGTCATGCAAGTCTCACAAACACGATGTTCGGAGTGTAAATCGCGGTCCGGATAAGAATATGCATCACTAATCAGCTCTGCTAAGAGCGAAACTCTGGTCCGGTGCTTCCTTTCGAAGTATGTTACCCTAAAGGCTTATCTGAATGCGACCGCGGCGAATAAGTGTGAATGATGTTCAGTCCAAAACAATCTAAATCCTCGAACTTTAATCGTTAGATAATAATATCTCAACGATCGCACAGCGTCAATTCCAGATGAAATATTTCGATTGGCCTAGCTCCTAAATGTGACTACATGGATAGGCTTGAATGTGGGAAAGAGTTGTAAGACTGGTGACCGTGCTTGCGCGCATCTGCAAGTGTGTGCACTGGACATCACTTAGACCAAACTGTGGGGATTGTGTGATGCGGCGAGCGAGAGGTTGAGACAACGGATACACAGGTAACTAGACCAAAGAACTATGACATTCTTCTAGTTTTACCTTAGCCTGCACTACGTTGCTGAGTTTTAACCTCTGTTTCACACACAGTCCTCTTCCCGGTTTGTTTGTCCTTGTCAGCACGCACTAAAGTTGTGACTATTCCATCCAGCCGAAGTCCAGATTTTTCGCAAATGGATCTCTTCTAAACTATTCCATCTGACGGAATGGTCAGACAACTAGGAAGAGACTCCGCCTTCGGCTGAATTTTTCGTCTCGCTCAGTTCAGAAGGATGTACTTGGATCGAGTTGCGCTCTTTTTAGACCTCATTCATAGTGCATATCCCCCTACAGAGTATGCCTCAATCTCCGTGCTTATCAGATAACTGTGGGTTTTCTTAGCCAATAATGAAATAGCATACCACATTCCGTGTCCGAATGTTTCTTCAACACGTCGGCTACGACTTTTCCGTAAGTGGTTATATATTTTGTAATTTCTTCATGAACATCATATGGATCAATATGCTGCATGATATGACAACCTTTTTTTTCAATCACAGCCATACGACGTTTCGAGTGTCAATCAGAGAAACACGGTGAAATCGCAGACACCGGCACAGAGGAACGTCTGAAACCCAAAGTACACAAAGGCTCACTTAATCGGTCTTTACTCAACCAGCTACAAGAAGCACCTGCGTGTTTTGGTGACCCACGGTTTTGGGTCAAGTCTGGCTACGTTAGACGACTTCGTTGGTTCGATCATCACTTATCATTTTCGGGTGGTCGTCTATCGTTATTTTACCATCCGGAGGCATCGCCTACGGGTAATGCAGATTTGCGAAGTTTGGTCCAGCCCAGTGAACAAATGCAACAGATGTTAAGGTCCGCCAAATCTGCCATTATCAGGTCATTGGACGCAAAGCATATTCCAATCGAAAGCAGCACGACACCGCACCCCTCGAATACAGATGCGTTGGAGAAGTTCATTATTGAAGGGAGATTCACTGGGCGCACAGTAGAAGAAATCAGGGTCAGTCGTTCTCATGGAAGTTTAACTACCGATTGTATTGCTAGATTTTTTGATGGTTCCTAACTTAGTCAATTCTAATACTCGCTTGTTCGATGAGGCCTTCAGTCTGCATTCACGTGAGTAAATACTCCCTGTCGCCTTTGATCTTTCTATCAGTTCGAGTGAGTGATTCGCCTTGCACGATATGTCAAGAAAGTGTGTTTAATTCAACAGTATCAAACAAAATAATATTCACATGAACACGTGACAGTTTCCGATGAGATGTGAGTCTTAGCGACACGTCTAAATTACATATTCGATAACTCCTGCACAACCTGAGACGACTGTGTACGCAGACTTCCATTCACAAGCTCCTCAATGTTAGTTTCTCTAGTTACTGTCCGACTTGGAATACGCGAATAAAGCCGCGAGCAGCGTAGCACAAGTCGTTTGTGATAGCTCAGAGACTGCGTGTCGTTCGACCTTAACTGCAATGACAGCCTACTGTGAATGCGGCTGTTACCGGCTAATCTGTATGTGTCCAAGCCTTTTCAAGTTTCTTTGATTGTTCAAAGTGGTCGTTATGCTAATTGTTTCTTGACCAAACATCCCCAGTTTCCCTCAGAATATGGTGTTCTACCACATTTTGCCCTTCGTTTTCTGCCATGAGCACACTAATTCCTCATGAGATTACACAGGTCTTCCATTTTCTATTTTAACGTTATATTCTTGTTCACAGGGACATTTCGGTGATAACGCTGAAGCTTCTGGCTCACTAGAATATCTTCTGTCTACAAACTCAGTAAGTATGGTACAATACGATATAGTTTCTCTGTTACCGATTTCATACATTTGGTCTTCGTGGTACTTTCTCCCTCTATAGAACTCAGTGGATTATGGTATGTAAGGATTGATCAAAATCCCGTGAACATTATCAATCAAAATAGTCATGTATTGATTGTGAACAGTAGACATTCCTTCATTCCTCAAAATGAAGCAACATCATTGTTCTTGGTTCTGATTAGTCAGAACAATCCTTTGGTTTGTTTAACCCTAAACCTCCCTTGATCCTAGTTCCTTTAGTAATTAATCGAAGCTGCTCCCCGAAGTTTGATGTCTGTATTGCTTATCGGATTGCTAGTCACTGCTTTCGCTATCGTCATACTACTGGCTATATATATTCACGAAATCTGGCACAATTGGCTAGGTTTCTACGCCACAACGAACAGCAGTTAGTAAGAATGGAAACTGAATTGGAACGAACTCGTAATCTCATAACTAAACAATTATTAACTTCTGTTTCGTATCATTTTTAACGCTTCTGATCATTGGCAAGCACCGCTTTCTTGGTCCAGGTCAAGAAATCAGTAACACCCTACCGAATCAATTGGTGACATTAGGACTTTTATCCCTCGAATATATGTAATCAACCATCTGATTGCCACTTCCGGCCCAATCCAATTCGTGCGGAAAGCGCACGATGGAGCAGACGGTGGGTTGGCATTCATACTACCTATCCGAGTTTGCGAAGCTTGTTCAGTGAAAGCAGTAGGACCACCTGCATGTTTTTCATCCGCCTATCTTGAAAACACTAACAAATTGTGTCGTCTATTACTCTTTTTTCATCATACAATACAATCGTACAAAGTTATGAGCTTTCAAAAACTGACGGTTTTAGACAATCACTCTTCGTCCACGTGGATTGCGCAAAGTTCCTATCGTTGTACATCTCAACCCTCACTGAATACCGACAATACAATTGACGAAGTTTAATGAACGTTACTCAGAGTTTAGCCATTCGATTGATGCGAAATTCGTATGCGCCACTTTTATCGCTCATCTCTGTTGCCTTTCCCATCACTGTCTTCTACTTGTCTATTCTCTCAGGTTTATTGGCTTGGCACCACTATATCACGATTCGTGCACCGACGTTACATCCGATTGTGGCTTATTCATTTGAAGGCAAGTAGCC